TAATCAAGTAAATGACCACTTCACCAAAGTATTGAGGACTTTTTAAAACACGTTAGAATTTTGCTCAACTATTTGGACCCCACTTCTGTCCCATAGCACACTGGGAGCTGGGGAAAGGTGTGTCTGACCACCAGTTATTAATAAGCAGTAGACATCCCACCAACTGATTTTCAGTGAATTGGCTTTTAGCAAATTGGTCATTTGGCAAAGTGGTCATTAGGCAAATGGGTCATTTGGCGAATAGGTCATTTAGTAAATCGTCTTTCAATGACTTGCCCTGTGAGATTTCTCTACAGTGAGCACTTTCTTTGGGTTAAATGTACATTTCATTTCCATAATTAATATTCACTAGCGCCTGGATGGGAAACTTCCCACAGACCCTGGAGCATCTGGAACAGCCTCTTAATAATCAGACAATTAAAAACCATCTGATTTTTTTTTTAACAGGAGCAGAGATGCAGAGGTCATCTGCTCTCCATAATACAGCAATAGGTCTCGGGACTGTCACAGGAGTTCTTGCAGTTCTGTTTGTCGCTAGCGTGACATACACAGCCATTCGTCGGAAAAAGGAGTGAGTGGCCTTTGGGTTTCCTGTGGTTGGTGCACATTGTAATCATCCATTTCAATCACTTCCTGCCACAAGGGGTCCAGCACTTTGAGAACCCAGCAACCAGAGCCAGCTTGGGCCCAGGACTCAGAAGAGACCCCAGCTTGGTTTAATAAGCTACTATCACAGTCTCAAAATTCTTAACAAGGACCCTGCATTTTCATGTTGCACTAGGCCCCCAAATTATGCACTAGTTGTATTAGTTTTCTAGGGCTGCCATAACAAAGTACCACAAACTGGGTGGCTTAAAACAACAGAAAAGTATTGTTTCATAGATCTGGAGGCTAAAAATACAAAATCAAGGGTTGGGCAGGGCCATGGTCCCTCTGAAACCTGTAGGGGAGGGTCCTTCTGTGCCTCTGCTAGCTTCCAGGGGTTGCCAACAGTCCTTGATGTTCTTCCTCCAATCTCTGCCTCCATTGCCACACTGCCCCCTTCTCCCTGTGTCGCTATCTTCTAAGGCAGTGGTTCTCAACATTCCTAATGCCTCGACCCTTTTAATACAGTTCCTCATGTTGTGGTGACCCCCAACCATAAAATTATTTTCGTTGCTACTTCATAACTGTAATTTTGCTACTGTTATGAATCCTAATGTAAATATCTGATATGCAGGATGTATTTTCATTGTTACAAATTGAACATAATTAAAGCATAGTGATTAATCACAAAAACAATATATAATTATATATGTGTTTTCCGATGGTCTTAGGCAACCCCTGTGAAAGGGTCGTTCGACCCCCAAAGGGGTCCCGACCCACAGGTTGAGAACCGCTGTTCTAAGGACATCAGTCATGGGATTTAGGGCCCCCTGTAATCCAGTATGACCCTATCTTAATTTAATTATGTCTGCAAAGACCCTATTTCCATATAAGGTCACATTCCTAGGACTTTTACCATAACTTTGGGGGAGGGGAACAATTCAACCCATAATATTGGTTCCGCCACCTATCAAAGCATTATATGAGCTGGTGCACTGCTTTCTACGTCTCAGTAGTTTATCACTAGACTGAGCCTTCCGTATTCTTGCACACAACCCTGACCATTTTTCTACTTGGACATAGCATGGGGACCTCCCGAACACTATAAACTACCGAAAAGCAGAACTTTACTTAACCTTAACTCAATTTCACAGCCCACAGTTAACGTAATTTCTATTTAAACTATAAAATTTTCCTGTGAGTTGAAACATGACCTATAAAGGTCTCTATACCCTGAAGCAACATTTTAGAAAGAAATCAATTGGTCCTTTTTTACAGAAACCATTAGCCATAGGAGAGATACAGGAAAAACTGCAATGTACTGATTGAATTGCCATGCCCACAGCATAATTTCTAAAAGGCAACCGTTCCATACAGTTAAAATGCATTAGGTTTTTATTATTATTACTATTAAAGAAAGCCTCAAATCCAGAAGCTGAATCACTAATTTGGCATGTGCTCATGCACATGCCTCTTGCCACTGGAAGGACCACTGGGATGTCCTAATGCTTCTCTCCATATCGACACCACCTGGAGTTTTTATCTGTGTTACACGGCAGTCCTAATCTTCACTTACGCCTGAACATACCACACCTTTGAGGTCCATAGAACCTTAAACATCCCTTCAGTGCCTTGACCCTTCCAGAGTCAGACCTGAAATGCATGCCTTTGTCCCTCCTGAGAGCCCACACGCAAAGATGAAGGTTTCTTCTGGGTGTAGGTCAATGCTGGGCTGCGGCCCACTCAGGATCCTTCCCCAATCTGCTTCCCATCTCCGGCATTAGGTAAGGTTGGACCAGCCTAGGCTTATTAATATCTTAGTATAACGTCAGACAGTGTTACTATGGCACTAACTATACATGTCCTTTCACTCCTTGGAGCAACGGTTCTCAACCTGTGGGTCGAGACACCTTTGGGAGTCGAACGACCCTTTCACAGGGGTCGCCTAAGACCATCAGAAAACACATATATAATTACATATTGTTTTTGTGATTAGTCACTATGCTTTAATTATGTTCAATTTGTAACAATGAAAATACATCGTGCATATCAGATATTTACATTACGATTCATAACAGAAGCAAAATTACAGTTATGAAGTAGCAACGAAAATAATTTTATGGTTGGGGGTCACCACAACATGAGGAACTGTATTAAAGGGTCGCGGCATTAGGAAGGTTGAGAACCACTGCCTCAGAGGAAAGATAATTAATAGCTATTATGTGTGTTCATAGAGTAAGCCCTGTGTTTATGAGTTTAACTGACCCATTGCCATTGGTTTTCTGCAGGCAGAGCGCCTATCAAAACAGCGGAAGTGAACCAGTGCACCTGACCGAAATAACGAGAGTCGCCCTTTAGAACAAAGACTCAAATCATAGTGAAGACTCATTGTGTGGCTGGTGACCCCATCTCTGGACACTGTGACTAGGAGGATTTTCGCAACATCTCGGGACCCGAACCCAGGAGTTCCATGTGAAGACACAGCAATCGCCACAGCGCACCTTCTTTCTCTAAGTCAGCGGTTCTCAACCTGTGGGTTGCGACCCCTTTGGGGAGCAAATGACCCTTTCACAGGGGTCGCCTAAGACCATCGGAAAACACATATATAATTGTATATTGTTTTTGTGATTAATCACTATGCTTTAATTATGTTCAATTTGTAACAATGAAATTGGGGGTCACCGCAACATGAGGAACTGTATTAAAGGGTCGCGGCATTAGGAAGGTTGAGAACCACTGCTCTAAGTCAACAAGTGTTGGGGGAATGAAAGATAAACCACTCTTGTGCCAAATCCCGTGCTCTCCTGGTTGTGGGAAAAGCACAACAGATATGAGAGAATAAACGCATTCAGTTAGAATGAATTCTCCTCTCTAGTGCTCAGAGCTGAACAGGGCTCCAGTGTCGCTCATCCGAAGGTGGTGAGGAGATTTAATCTGTCCTCTCGTCTGCCTTCTGCAAATTAGCCCTCGAGATGCTTCTAAGCAGAGTTTTGTGAGAGATTTGTGAAGTCAGCCTGCAGACTTTGAACACGGTTCAAACTCCAGGGACAGCGCTGGGACGTGGGGAACTATCTGCCCTGCCTTTCACTCCAGACGCGCTCCTGTCACACAGAAGTCATTACTGTTTAATCTCCCTCCCTATCCCTACCTCTGTGCCACTCCACAGCACCCCAGAGCCCCCTTGCTCTTCTCTCAGACCCTTTTTCCTGCACAGTCGCCCTCCCTCGGGCTCCGAGCTCGCCGGCCTGAGAATGCCGTCCTGCTTCTGCCTGCGGGTGCGATGATTACGTCACTGGCCCCTTTCCCCACGAGCCCCTGAGGCCCCGGGAGCAGGGCCCACTCCCGGCTTTTCTCACTGCTGCATCCCCAGCGCCAAGCACGTGAGAGCCTAATCAGCATTTGGTGAACCAACGTCCCCCTGGGGTTAGGGACTGACCCAAAGGCTGGGGGAGCCAGAGCTCCGGGCTCCCGTCGGAGGAGGCCACGGAGAGGACGCGACCTCCGGCGGACCTGCGAGCGCCTCTCCCCTCCCCTCCCCTGCCCGCCGTCCCCAAAGCGGGAGCGGGTGTCTGAGAGAACTGTGGTGAGAGACCACCCGGAGTGGGCACGGGCACGACTGACCCGGTCAAGGCCTCTACGGAAACTGTTAAGATTCTGGCGGGGAGCGCGGAGACCTTCTCCTCTCGAGACTCCCCAGACAAGACTCTTCAATAAGTTCCCTTATTAAACCTGCCACCTCCCCATCTGGGGTGGCCTGCCTCTCCCGTTTCTCTTCGCCCTCCGTGTGCCAGCCAGTTTGCAAAACAACACCCTGACCTAAATGCCCTTTTCCAAGGAGGGAAAGAGCGGCCATGGCCGGAGCCCACGGACCCCGGGCCTGAGGAGGCACCCCCTCCAGGGGCATGAAGGGCGGTCAGGGTCCCTTTTGCCCATTCACACAGAGAGGTGGCACCAACGGGGACAGGCCTAGGTTAGGGAGGCGGGGGCTGCCCCCGACAAAGAAACCCTCGGGAAAGTGCGGGAACAGCAGAATGTTTACCGGCATCTCAGCCTCAGGGGACGCTCCCCGGGGAGCGCTCGCGGCGCTGCAAAGCTTTCGTGTGGCGCCAAACCCTGGCCCCGCCCCGCCCGCGCCTGGCCCCGCCCCTTCCGACCCTGGCCCCACCTCCCAGGTCTCAGCTCGCCCGAGCCGCCTCCGGCACCCGCCTCCAACTTTCCCCAAGTCCCGCCTCCCAGAGCCCGCAACGCCCTGACTTCCCGCCCAAACCACACCCGGGGACCCGAGCACCGCCTAACCTCTCCAACCAGAGCTCGAGCGCGCCTGGCCCCGCCCCCGCCCCCTCCGGCCTTCTCTGGCCGCTTCAAGCCCCGCCCTCGGCCCCCGCCAGTCGCCAAGGCTGGTCCCGCCTCCTCCGGGCTCCTCCCCGCTTCCGCCCCGTCTCCGGAGCAACGCGGAAGCTCCGCCCCGTCATGGCGCCGGAGGAGAGCGTGGAAGCCTCGCGCCTGCTGCAGAGTTTCGAGCGCCGCTTCCTGGCGGCGCGCGCGCTGCGCTCCTTCCCCTGGCAGGTGGGCGGCGTGGCGCGCTGAGTGCGAGCGGCGGGGGGCGCAGGACTGGTGAGGGGGGCGCTACGAGCTCCCTCCCCGCCACGGGACGGCCTCGGCTTTTTCGGGTGTCGGGGCCATACCTCTGGTCCTCGTCCTGAGGCTGCGCCGGGGCCGCGCGGGCTGGTGGCGGAGAGCAGGAGGTGCACCTGCGCGCCCCGGGAAGCCCACCCTTCACCGGCCATCAGCTCCCTCCCCTCTGGGCCCTTCCCGACCTCCGCTACCTGTGCTGACTTGGGTCCCACGAATTGAAGGAGTGCAGGGTTTCCTCCCAACTCCCTTTTTCACTCAGGTTTTTAGAGTCATGGACAGTTCCCAATAATTTTCATGACTTTTTTTTTTTTTTAGCCAGTTATCATCCTGGTCATGAGAAACAGCTGCTGTTGCCCATTTTAACAGTCAAGGCCCCAGCACAGCTGGAGATCAGGTTGCAATGAGCGCAGTGACCAGATCACAGACAACTCCCGCACCCAATTACAGACACACGCACGCCCCTGGGTGCTTTCATCTTTGTTATCAGCTTTGGACAAAATCGTCTCAGAGGCAACTTGGAGGCTCTTAAGCCTCGGATGGAAGAGACAGGGAGGAACAAAGCCGGCCAGAAAATAGATGGTAGAGGTCTCGGCTCCCCTGCCCTGGGGACCTGCCACTGCACAGGCCAATGGCATGGCAGCAGCTTCCTCCTGCCAAGGAGATTTCCAATGACATTGCCTCCTTTATAATTCATGTGCGGTGAGCTCACTGGGATGACTCAGTTTGGATATGTATTCTTCCCCGGTCTTCCCCTCGTTAGTCATTTGTATTTTATTGACATAAACCATTTAGCATTCTGAGAGCTCATTTCCAGTCACAAAGGGATATGTACATTTTTAACCCAAAATGTAAACCTTTCTAACAGACCCAATTCCATAGCAGCTAAAATTGTTCACGTAAAATAAGCGCATACTCTGTACCAGGACCATGCTACATGCATACTTAGGCTGGCCCACAACGCCCATGTGGTGGGTGCTATTACTATTATTGTGTTTTGCCACACAGGTTGTTTGACTAGAAGAGAGGTAGAGTGCAGACCTGAGAGACAGCCTCCTGCTTGGAATCCTGGCCCAATCCCATACAAGCTGTGTGACCTTGGGCAAGTGACTGCATACTTCTGGGCTGTGGTTTTCTTATTAGTAAAACAGGATGCTTACCTCAAAGGGCTGTTATCAGGAGTACATGACAGTGAAGTATCTGAGGCAGTGCCTGGCTCATGGTAAATGGATGTAAGTGTTAGCTAGTATGTGTATTCCATCCAAATGTTTACTGACTGCCTTCCAGGAGCCAGGCACCAGGAACAGCAGCACACAGATGAGGCCTTGTTCAGATGGGAGAGCCAGAGAATAAACACGTAAATGAATAAATAAGAAAACGCCACAGGATGATAGCAGTGGCTATAAAGTCAATAAAACAAGGAAATGTTTCATCAAAGGAGGGGAATCCGGGAAGGCCTCCAAGAGGGGAAATTTGAGCCGGGACCTGAACAGTGAAGCAGTGGGCTGTGGGAGGTCTTGGGGAGCAGGGAGTGCAGAGGTTCTGCCAGTGAGAGCAAGCTGCAGTAAGGAGGCCAGTGTGGCTGGAGTGCCATGAGCAGAGGTGAGATGGATGACGGCAAGTGAGGTGAGAGAGAGGCCAGGGCCAGGTCTTACAGCATGTGATAAGTCGTTCTGGAGAAACAAAGGGATCTGCCCAGGGTCGCACACCAGCCAGGCAGTCTGCCTGATTCTGGAGCCTGAGCTCACTACCAGGAGTCAGTCCCCTGCAGGAGAGGACAGTGTATAAGCTGGGCCTGGCAGCTGCACATTAACTCAGTGTCAAGTCCAAGGCAAGCCCACCAGGCGCTGACGTCCTGACTAACTGTAATTCCTGGCTGACAAGGACAGCCACCAAGCCGGTCTGTGACCCAGGCGAGGCTTAGCAGCCAGGGCTAATGCAAACCAAGAGTCTATCTCCTGATATTCTTTCTCTGACTCATCCAGGTATAACCTGAGACTTGTCAAGGTCAGGCTTTCACCCGCCCAGGTCCCTGGGGAGAGATCACTTAGCACTTTTCCAACATGTCCTATTGCATGTTTAATGTTCCTGTGAAAATGTCTTGATTTCTCTCTCTCCCCCAATCTATCTCCAAATAGAGCCTAGAAGAGAAATTAAGGGACTCCGGTCCTGAGCTGCTGCTGGATATTTTACAGAAGGTAAGAATCACAGGGTCAGTCACTGGGATGCAGTCACCAGCCTCCTGACGTGCCCATGAGGACAGGACAGAAGTGCAGTGCCTGTGCTTGTCTCCTTTAAAAAGAAAGGCTCTGCATTTGGGTGGGAGCACCTCAGAGAGCTCTGTCTTAGATGAAGATATCAGAATATACAAAAGTCTACTTGAGAGGAGGGAGTCTGGCAGATGTTTTTTAAACTGTCCACAGAGAAAACAAGTGACAGCTGTGGGAACATCTAGCATTTGCTAACTGTTCAGAGAATTTCTTCTTTACATTTAAGGGAAAAATAAAGATGCAAGTCTTGCCCACTTGTGTCTCTTTTCCAGATGTAGGTGGGCCCCTGCTTTTTGGAGTTGAGTTTTGGATTCTAAGATGCGTGTGGGTAAGGGTATATGTGGAACCACCACTGTGCCTGACCTGCCCCTGGCCATGTGGATCAAGTGCAGATTACATTGCCTCCTGGCTCTCAACCCTCTGAAGGGTCATGAACCCTTCTCAAAACCCAAAGCTATGGGCTCTCCCCCCAGAAAAAAAAAATGCATCAGAATACATTTGGAATACAAATTCAGGGAAGTCACAGATCCTCCTCCCACCACTAAGCCCTCCAAGAAACCCAGATTAAGAATTCCTGCGTGGCCCTGGCCAATGGGGCTCAGTTGGTTGTAGAATAGTCCCGTCTACCAAAAGGTTGCAGCTTCGATTCCAGGTCAGGGGACATATGGAAGGCAACCAGTTGATCAATGTTTCTCTCTCTCTCTCTCTCTCTCTCTCTCTCTCTCATCCTCAGTTGAGGATTAAAAAAAAAAAAAAAAGAATTCCTATGTGGAGGGTGAACCAGGGGTATCCTTCTGACCAAGTAGAGAAGGTGGAGCTGTAACTGGGGAAGACTTTAGGGCAATCTAGTATTCAGGACTGTGAGCTCAGAGATGTCCAAGGTTATTGTTCATTGTAGGCTACTCTGATTCTTAACCCCACCTAACACCAGCCAACTAGAAAGCCCCTGAGCAGTGTGTGGGTATTTTATTGCCCTTGGGTAAAATAATGTCCCTCCAGCCAACAGGCCCCCTGGAACTGGTCCCTACTCTCATTGCTCCTGTCACCCTGCCTTCCTTCCCAAAATGCCAGGCTGTGGCCACCTTGGAGCCCGCTTAAGCTGTTCTCTCTGCCTGGATCTCCTTCCCCAGCTTTTTGATTCCACTAAACTGTCACCCCTGAGAGCCCCCTTTCCCCTCCTCCACGTCCCAGGTGGAGCCCCCATCTTCCTCTGCCCTGGCCACCAGAGCACTCATCATGGTCTGGCTCCTGCTCATCTCCTTGGCTGGAATATGAGTTCCAGGAGGACAGGTGCCAAATCTGCCTTGTTCCACCATTTGGGCTCTTGCCTCTTCCATGGAGCCAGGCAATCCCACACTTGTCCTTACTACAAACTCTCATTCATGCTGGCTGCCCTGGGAAGGGGTGTGTCTTAGACCAGTCCAGCTGCTATGGTATTCATAGACTGCGTGGCTTATAAACAACAATAATTTATTTCGCACAGTTTTGGAGGCTGCAAAGTCCAAGATCAAGGTGCCAAGTTCAGTGTCTGCTGAGGGTCTGCTATCTCATTCATAGAGGGCCATCTTCTCATTGTATCCTCATATGGTGGAAGGCACAAGGGACTGCTATGGGGGTCTCTCATATAAGTGCACTAATCCCATTCTTGGGGGCTCCACCTGCATGACCTAATCACCCCCCCAACGGCCCCACCTCATAAAACCATTGCATTTGATGTTAGAATTCACATATGAATTTGGGGAGATGCAGACATTCAGTCAATAGCAGGGTGTTTGCTTGGGTCCTTGTGCATCACATTCCTGCCCAGAATGGGTTTTAGAAACACTGCCACAGTCTGTGCTGCTGCAGCAGAGAAGTGTTGGGAAAGGGCTTATTCTGAAGACTTACTCTTTCAGATGCATGAATCACCTAGAGTCAGAACCTTTGTGTCAGTATGTGTTTGCTGAGGGATCAGGTAACTGGGGTTTGCTGTGTAGTCACTTAGAGCCCATGGGAGACTCCAGGCCGGGTTTCTTCAGCAACTCACATGTGTCCCTTGTCACAGACCGTGAAACACCCTCTGTGCGTGAAGCATCCGCCGTCTGTGAAGTATACCCGGTGCTTTCTCTCGGAGCTCATCAGAAAGGTCAGTGGTGGGCATGTCTGCCTGGTAGCCAGACAGCATCTGGCACTTGGCTGGCTCTCCAGAAGTGGGCCCTCTGCCCAGCTTTGCTTGTTGGAGCTCAGATCCGTCCCATGCCCTTTGCCTCCTCTGCAAACCCCATATGGCAGGTGCTCCCTGGGCAACTGTCTCCCAGCTGGGTTCGACCAATGAAAGGCCGTGGAGGGCGGAAAGAGAACGCCAAGGCCTTTCTCCCTCTCTGCCTCGAGGGATCTCCAGCAGCAGCTGCATCTCCTCTATGGTCCCTGTGCGAGTTGTCATTTCTACCGGGCAGCCCTGAGCATCGAATCCCCACCTTCTCCTTCTCTTCTCCCACCTGAGAGGTTTTGACAGTTTCCTGCTGTTGCCAATCTCTGGATTGCTGCCCTGTCCTTGTTGGAGGTTTTAGGTCTTGCAATGCCTTTATAACTAGTTCCCCTTACTACCTTCCTCCCAATGAACTACTGGAATAGCTCTTTTCCTGACTGATACAGGATGGATTTTAAGGTTGAACCCAAATTTGCTGAATTTCATGTTAGACTGGAGTTTAGTAAGACAAAACCTCAGTGGTCAGTAGCAGGCCTGACCTGTTTGGCCTCTGAATACAAGGGCCGTGCCTCACCCATGCTTAGCACATGGAGCGATCCCGGCTTCTCCGTTGCCTCCATCCCTCGTTCTCACCATCATGGCACATCTAGTGGTCACCAGCAGGTCTCTCCCACACCACTAGGGGGAGCAAGGCCACCGATGCCACCCCACCCCACCCCACCTCCATGGGGCGCAGGACAGATTGCCCACTGATGAAGCCACACCCTGAAGTGTGGAGTGCCCATCCTGTGGCTTTTGCCTGGGCCCACTTAAAAGCACCATTTGTATTCTCCATCCCAGACATCATGGTCAAAGGGCAGAGCTCTCTGTCCCTGTCACACAGCAGCTCTCATGCCATTCCGTTTCTGCTGCCATAGATTACACCTTATTCTCACCCTCGCCCTCTCTATTCCTCTTTGAGATACCCCGGTCCCCCCACTGAGTGAATTTTTTATATGCCAGGTAGTCTATGTTACATCAGTCCATCCCAATCTGCCTCACCATATTTGGTGAAAATCCTCCAGCCATTTTTAGAAGTCAGAGTAAAGGCAAATAGACAGGACCTTTGTTTGATTCATGAGGGTCCATATTTAATGCTCTTGCTGAAGCTCTCGCTCCACCACCCCCAGCACGAAGCTGCTCATGAAGAGCCTTTGGACGAGCTGTACGAGGCGTTGGCAGAGATCCTGACAGCCGAGGAGCCCACTCAGTGCCACAGGAGCTATCTGTTGGTAGGAGCCGTGCGCCTCCCTCCCCCCACAGGCCAGACACCCGCCTCTGCACACAGAGTTACAACTCAGGCTCCAGCAGCCTCCCATGGGTTCAGGCCCTGACTCATCAGCTCTGTGGTCTTAGATGGAGTCAGTTAACCGCCTCTGAGCTTAGTTTCTTCATCTGTAAATCAAGCACTTTGACAAATAATAGTACCTGTTTTATGGGGTGGCTGGGAGTTAAATTAGGTTGTGCATAGTATTTACATAGCAGGAACATGGCACTCAGTCCCCAATAAATGCTTGATGAGTGGCTGTTATAGGACAGCAGTCACTTCCCACTCTCCCCCACCACTATCCTCACCAGCCTGGACCACTGTCACAGCCTTCTGACTGGTCTCCCAGCTTCATGCCCCACAAAAATTCATTCTGCACACAATAGTCAAAGGGATCTTGGATGTTTTTGTCTGTTTTTTACCTTTTACCATAAAATAAAGCATAGATACAGAAAACCACACAAAATAAATATACAGCTTATTGAATCATTGCAAGGCAGCCACCCTGGTAACCGTCACTTCAGTCAAAAGACAGAATTTTGGCAGCCAGCTCACAAGGCCCTACTTTTAAGGGCTCAGATGATAAAATTGGTCTCACCCAGATAATCCAGGATAATTTTTCCATCTCAAGTTCTGTAACCTTAAGCACATCTTCAGATCCCTTTGCCTTGTAACATAACACAGACACGGGGCCCAGGGGGTGGACATAGACATGAATGACCTAGCACACATCCATAGTCTCTTCCTTTTCAATCTATATGTGTTTAGAACTCCCCCTCAATCCACATGTTGACGTCTCTCTAGCCATTTTGGTTGTCTGAAGTTTGTTCTCTAATAGATTCTTTAAGAAGGGCTTCTGGGATTGACCTTCCCTGCATTCTTACATGTTGATAACAGTATGAGCCATTTATACTTGAATTCTGACTCATATTTTCTCTCCTTGAGTCTCTTAAATATGTTTCTCCCTTTTCTTTGGCATGAAGCATTGCTGTGAAAAAGCCTGATGATAATCTAATTTTCTCTCCCTTTTCTCTTCGATGGGCAAAGGGTCTTCTTTCTTCAAAGTTCAATCATTTTACTAGAGTGTGTCTTGGGTTGATTATTGGGGGCTGGTGATCCCAGGAGCAATGTTTGTATTCCTTCAGTGTTATTTCAAATCATTTTGTTTTTTCAGGAATGCTTTCTTAAATTATAATTTTTAGTACTTGTTCTTTGCTTTTGTTTTTCATTAAAAAGTACCTTCAAACATGTAGCTTAAACAAAAGAAATGTATCACCTCACAGTTCTGGAAGCTATAGCTCCACGGGCAGGGTGTTAGCAGGGCTGCAGGGAAGGCTGTGTCCAGCCACTCCTCGGCTTGCAGGTGGCCGTCTCCTCCCTGTCTCTTCACAGCATCATCCCTTGTGGTGTTTCGATGTCCTGATATCCTCTTCATATAAGGATGCAGTCAGGACCTTATTTGAACTTGATTCCCTCTGTAAAGACCCTGTCTCCAAATAAGGTCACATTCAGAGGTGCTGGGGGTTAGGACTTCAGCATATGAATTGGGAGGGTGGGGGGGACACAGTTCATCCCATAGCAATCTCTTTCTTAATTTTTTTTTTATTTTTTTTTTAGGGGGGGAATATATATATATACACATACACACACATTTGTTGTTGTTGTTAATCCTCACCAGGGGATATTTTTCCAATGATTTTTAGGGAGAGTGGAAGAGAGAGGGAAAGACAGAGAGAATCATTGATGTGAGAGAAACATATCGATTGGTTGCCTCCTGCACAAGCCCTGACCAGGGCCCCAGGCCAGGGAAGAGCCTGCAACCGAGGTACCCTTGAACAGAATCGAACCCAGGACTGCAGTCTGATGCTCTATCCACTGAGCAAAACCAGTTAGGGCTTAAATTTATTTGTATTGATTTCAGAGAGGAAGGGAGAGAGAAAGAAACATCAATGATGAGAGAGAATCATTGATTGGCTGCCTCCTGTACGCCCCACACTGGGGACCCAGCCTGCAACTCAAGTATGTGCTCTGACCAGGAATCGAACTATGACCTCCTGGTTCATATGTCGAAACTCAACCACTGAGGCACATCAGCCGGACTTCTTTTCTATTTTTAAAAATCACTTCATTTCACCTCATCTTTCTCTTAACTTTATCTAGTTTTGTTTTGTTTTCATTCTCATATTCCTTCGTGTAGTCCTTGACCACCTCGGGTGGTCAAGTTCCCTCCTAGGTGTTCTTGCTGTTCTTGGCCGGCCCCTGCATCCCGATGAATGCCTGTAGCTCTGAGTTCTGTCCTCAGGTCAGCCGCATGCCCCATTGCTTCCCTCTTCTGTCTCCACAGACACAATGAGCATGAGGGTTATGCCTGTGGTTTCCCCTCATCTGTTGATATTTTCAGGCTCACAGAGATAGATACTTTGTTGTAAATGTTGTCCCTATCTCACTGCTCTGTCTGTTCTTGATGTAGGGATTCAGGAAGATTCAAAAGTACTCTGCAGCCATCTTCCCCAAATTCCCCTGAGTGATCCCCCTGATTTGAGGTATATCCGATCATGTCACTCACCTGTCCAGAACCCACCAGTGGCTTCCCTTTGCACCATCACTCAATCCTAATTCCTTAGGTGGCCTATGAGTCCCACATGCCCTGCCCCAGCCTTTCTCTCTTGTCTAGTGCCTTCTGCTTTCCCTGAGCCCCAGCCCCCTGGTCTTCTTTCTCTTCCTTGAACTCACTAACTGCAATGCTGCCTCAGGGCCTTTGCACTTGCTCTGCCTAGAATACTCTCCCCCAAGAACCTCACATGCCTCACTTCTCCTTTTCACCCACATCTCAGGTCATATGTCACCCCCTTAAAAAAGCTATCTCTGACCAATCTATCTGAAGCAGACCTCCCTTCCCACCCCCAGTCTTAATAGAAGACTGAGAGTGGGTGATTGCATCTTGGGGATGTCATTCTCAGCAGCCCCAGGTTGGAGAACATGTTTCAGGACTGGATGTTCCATGAAACACATGCCAGTAAGCCAAGCATGTGGCCCCCACTTGCTGTGGGGATGGAAATGACAGGAAACTCCAAAGGCCGGAGACTCCCCCAGCCCCAGATGTCAGGTTGAACTCGGGAAGCCCCACACACTGAGTCTGTTCATATATAGCTCATGGTACCAGAGAGGTGTAACTTTTATTTATTAACTAGAGGCCTGATGCATGAAACTTGTGCAAGGGGCTCCACCCTCCCAGCCCTGGCTTCGTCCGGAAGGACATCTGGTCTGATTAGCATATTACGCTTTTATTATTATAGAAAACTATAGATTCACAGAAAGCTGCAAAAATCGTACAGGGAGGCCCACGTGCTCTTTCCCCAGTGTCCCCCAGCGGAAACACCTGGCACTCACAGCATCACAGACAATGACATGGCACCGTGTGTGTGTAATTCTGTGTCGTCCACCACATGTGGGGACCTGCACAGGCACCACCACAGTGAAGACACGGAACTGTTCTGTCACGGCAAAGACCTCCCTCAGGCCACCCCTTCATAGTCACACCCATGGCTAGTCCCCATTCCTGCCCCAGGCAGCCCCACCACTGATCTGTTTCTCCGTCTCCACAACTCTGTAATTTGAGAATGTTAGATAAGTGGAATCACACAGTATATGACCTTCTGAGATTGGTTTTTTTCATTCAGCATAACGCCCTTGCAATCCATCCAGGTTGGTGCACGTGTCAACAATTTGTTCTTTTTTATTGCTGTGTGGTATTCCATGGCATGGGCATACCAGTTTATTTAGCCATCCACCTGCTGTGATTTTTTTCTCTTTAACGCCAGCTTATTGTCTTCTGGTAGCTGGATTATCTCTCTCTCTGTCTCCATCCAGCCTTCCGGGGACTCAGTCACACTCTCCGAGAGCTCAGCCATCATTTCCCATGGCACCACCGGCCTGGTCACGTGGAATGCTGCACTCTACCTTGCAGAATGGGCCATAGAGAACCCAGCGGCTTTCACTCACAGGTGACCTCGGGGCACAGGGCAGGGTACCAAGGCGAGTTTTCCCCAGCACGATTTCAAACACGTGTCCCCTTCTCCCACTCAGGACTGTCTTAGAGCTCGGCAGTGGAGCCGGCCTCACAGGCCTGGCCATTTGCAAGATGTGCCATCCTAGAGCATATGTCTTCAGTGACTGTCACGGCCTTGTCCTCGAGCAGCTCCGAGGAAACATCCTTCTCAATGGCCTCCTGTTAGAGTCAGATGCCACCGCCCCTGCGCAGCACCCAGGACACAACACCCACAACACAGAGAGCCCCAGGGTGACGGTGGCACAGCTGGACTGGGACATCGTGACGGCCCCTCAGCTCGCTGCCTTCCAGCCAGACGTCATCATCGCAGCAGGTGCCATTCAGCCCCCTGTGGCTTCCATCTGTGGCTTCCCTGTGGCTCCACCCACTCTCAGTTTAGGGAAGGGGACCATGGACTCTGCAGGGTCAGGGAGGTACAGATGGATGAGACATCTGGAAGGGTCACTGTGAGCCTCCAGAGTGACATCAAAGCACAGGGTGTGCCTCTTGGGTGCCGTAAAGCCACATGCGCCTGTTTGAGCAAGTGGCTACTTGCATTCCCATTGTAGTGGTTCTATCAGAGAAATGAACCTGGCTCTTGCCCACAGGCCTGGGATGAGCAGAGCAGGCCCCAGGGCACCGCGGTGGTCTGACCTATTAGCCCGGCCTTTGTGTCCCTCTCCAGAGCCTGAGGGAGGCCACTCAGTTGCCATCTAGAACCTAAATCAAGTAGTGAGAGCAGCCCCATCTTCAGGCAGAGGGGGTGGGAAATGGCTGTGGCAGCCTTGTCCTTTCAGGGCCACAGGAACAGCACAATATTCCCAGGACTGTCTGAGTCCTCTGTGTGTGACGGGAACCCAGGGGCTCACCGTCCAACCATAGTGGAGTCTGAGTCAGGGAAGTTGCTCTGAGTGCCCCACCTCTGTCAGCGCTGGCTTCCCTGTGCTCGGTACCATCGCCACATGTCTGTGTGGCCCTGAGAAGAGCTCCTGCATGTTTCTATCCCAGATGCACACCGTGTCTTTCGGAGACGAGTCCCCACAGAGGGGACCCCCCGCTTCTAGTGCAAGGACAGGTTCCTTGAGAGAAGGGACATTTGGCTTGGCCACCAACAGACCCCTTATCCTTTGCCAAGCTCACCTCAACCCCGGCTGACAGCTGTCTATACCTCTGGTCCTGGGCCACAGCCCTGAGACCCATAGGCACACAGTGGCCGGAGCGCAGAGCCCAAGCAGCACACCCCAAGGTGGCACCATCCCTGTAAGCCTGGCTGTCAGGCCGGAGCGAGGTGGTCCCCACCCTGCAGAGAGCAAAGATGCAAGAAGTCTGAAGCAGACTCAGGTTTGCTTTATTAAAGAATTGATTTTTATTTTATTTTATTTTTTAAGGAACAACAGTGAGTCCTTGATATTTTTCAGTTGTTGCCTTGTCTTTCAGCAGCTTTCATTCTCCCAAGGATTTTCTTTTTATACATACATAACTTTCTTTCCATCTAATAGAACTGCTGCTTTCTTGCCCCTTGACCTGCTACCAAGGTTGGCACAACCCAGCACTCTCCATTCTGGGGTCCTGAATCCTCGAGGGAGTCCCTGTTAGTGATCCAGGGTTTTTCATTGCAGATGTGCTGTACTGCCCAGAAACTGTCCTCTCGCTGGTCAGGGTCCTGCAGACACTCTCTGCTTGCCAGAAGGACCGGCAGGCTCCTGACGCCTACATTGCCTTCACCATCCGCAACCCAGAGACATGCCGGCTGTTCACCACTGAGCTAGGTGAGCCCAGGACAGGCTGAGAGGCCGTCCAGCCTGCAGGGGCCACTGTGCTGGCCCCACACAGGACTCCAGTGAGGCAGAAACTCCAGGGAAGTGAAAGAATGGGCCCCAGCGACAAACCGGAAGCTGGGCTGGGCGATAACTCCCGCCCTGAAGTCAGCAGAGGAGGCAGGGGGGAGAGCGGGCTCCGGGGGACAGAGGTAGCGCACACCGTGATCCTGGAGGGCTGGGGCCAGCAGCCCTGCCATGTGGTTAGGGCAGGTTTCATTGGCTGTAAAGTGGACGGGATGGCGGATGCCAGTGGTGTCAGGGTAGACGAAGTTCAGACCACATTGCCGTCAGGCCAGGCTCTAGAGTTGGTTCCAACACCCGCCCTGGTGGAGCTGAGCTGGCACTGCTTTTGGGGCATCTATACAGTGGACACATCCACCTGAGGTGGAGCAGGGCCTGACTCACAAGAACGCCCAGGAAAACGGGAGCTGCTATTACTGGATTAAATGCACAGTAAATGGAAGAACAAGGGGTGACTTTCAGAAGGGAGAGGAGTCTGCCATTTACAGCCCGAATTGGCATTGCTGCGGACCAGGCACTGTCCCCAGACCTGACATGTGCCAGCCCCTCTAGCAGCTGGAGGGGTGTCATCCTCTGTTGCCCATGGAAACATGGGTGGAGGGAGGCTAAGTAACTCCTGCTCTCCACCCCTAATCTCCCACCCCACACCCACTGCCCTGCAATTCCTAACACCTGCCAGGCCCAACCAGGCCTTCTATCTCGGAACCTGACAACAGTGCAGGACCCATTTGCCCCAACACCCTCCCCCAACAAAGCCCACCTGCAGCAGCCTCTGCTGACAAACACAGAGACCACCCGAACACCCACCCACACGTGCCCATGTCCTATTGGCAGAGTACTGTGAGCCTCGAAAAGAATGAAGTCCTTCTGGAGATGGGACTTATGGGGAAAAGTATCTACAGTATATATTTTTTAATATTTTTAATGTACAGTTGACATATTAGTTTTAGGTGTACAACCCTGTGATTAGGTATTTATGTAACTTAAAAAGTGATGACGCCGGCATTTCCCTGGGCAGTAAACCATGCACCATCTTGTGACCCCCCCCCAATAATAAATTTTTTTAAAAAAAGTGATGACGCCAATAAATCTAGTAACCATCTAATACCATAGTTATTACAATATAATTGACTATATCGTCTTTGCTGTATTTTACATCTCCATGACTACCAGTGTGTAGTTCTCGGTCCCTTCACCTTTTTCACCTATCCCCCACCCCCCTCCCGTCTGGTAACCATCAAAATCTACAATATATTTTAAATGAAGAAAGCAAAATACCAAACAGCATAAATAGTATAAGCCAATTTTTATTTTAAAAAATAATCACCTTTATATTACTATTCACATGGGGGAAATCTGGAATAGACACTAGTTAACAGTTGTTATACTTGGACAGCAGGATCATAGATGCTTCTACACTTTTATTTCCTTTCATTTCCTTTTTAAATATTAATTTTTCATTCAAAATAAAACTTACAAAATGAACCTCACCAATGGCTCTTCAGACATCTGCTCATGAAGAGGACGGCTGCCCCTTCAGATTCGTGTCCAGCCTTTGTGAGGAGGCACATGCTGACCAGTCAGGCAGAGCGGGTTCAGGTCTTGGCTGCACCTGATGAGGTGTAGGACAGGTGCAGAGCTACAGGGAACCCAGACAGGCCATGACCTTCTGGGGATGGGAATGGCCGATGGGCAGACAGCAAACCTGGCTGTCATGAAGTGTTTAAAAACACGATTCCTGGTCCTGCTCCCAGAGGCTGACTCTAGATGTCTGGATGGGGCTTGAAAATCTGTACCCTCCCCCGCTCTCCACCCCCAGGCCCGTCCTGCAGCCCTGCACTGACAGGCGACATCCTGTCCCCAAACCCCACCATCATGAGACACATATGCTCTGTTTCCAGGGAAGGCTGGGATCTCATGGGAAGCAGTGCCTCGCCACAACCAGAAGCTATTTCCCTACGAAGAGCACTCGGAGATGGAAATTCTGAAACTAATGCTGTAGGTTTGCAGATGTTTGGGGAAATTACCACGAAAATTAAATCACTTGGGAAAGAATTTTTATGTGGGAAAGCTGATAAAACTTTCACTGGACTTAAATGTTTGAAGAGTGTTCAATTCTGAATCAGGAACCACCAACTTTGTTCTAATGAAATATAACTGTTCAAGTGTGGGGGTACCCCTTTCTGTCAGCAGTTCTGGTTGTAAGCAAATCACCATAAATCAGAAATGAAAATTTTGGCTCAGAGATAAGCATTCCACTTGTGCAGGTAAAAACATATATATCAAGTGTGTTTTCCTCCATTCTGGACACACATCCTACAGTGCACATGGCACATCTCTGCTCACGGTGTGGGAGCCGCGGTGCCCATGTCAAGGCAGGAATCAAAACATTAGGGACATGACAGAACAGATGCTGAGAGAGGCAGACACCAGGAGACAAAAACAGGGACAAAGAGATGTTGAACAGACCACAGGCAATTAACAGGAAAGTAATAAACTAGAGGGAAGAAAGGAGAGAGAGAGAAGTGACTCAAGGCTGGACTAGTTTCCTGGGCCACAGATTCCCAGTCATTAGAATAAGTTCATTCCAAGCCGAAGGCTGGCCCTTCCTCAGCTTGTGTGGGAAGCCTCTCTTGGCTGTTGAGATGTGCCGACCCCACATCCCCTGCTACATGGTTAGCCTCACCTGTAGAGCTGTGGAAGCTCCCTCCCGAAGTTTGAGGTGCGAGGCAGACACCTCTTTCCCCAACTTTAGGAAAATGTGGGACTCATACTCCAGTGCTCTGTAAAGATTTCCTTATTACAGATCCTCTCCCCTTAACAGTTCCAATCACCCAAACCCTTTTACCCTTCATAAAGCATGAAGAGCAATGAAATGGTCTCTGACAATATACATCGGGAACTAGCACTTCACTTGGTAGACAACCTTCTCCATCTTATTGAGAATTTCATTTGTGGCCCTTTGGTTTGGGATTTCTCCTCCGTTTCTGATGTGTTAATGTTGACTGTGACAGCCCAATGCACATAACACTCTGAGCACAGGCCCACAGCCTGGCTGTCTGGAGGTATTTAAATCATTCTCAAAGAAAACAGGAAGCAATGAGGCTTCCAACAGATTCTGTGTAGAATGGACCTCCCAAAACTGGAGCAGCCAGCATGAGAAAAGCACATCCCCCCGTCATAGAGGTGCAACTGAGTGTCCCCAGGGATGGGAAGCCATCTATACCAGCGCCAATTAAATGAAAACTTTCTTGCTGCCCTCACCTCTCTGTCCTGAACTGAGACTGTCTGGCAACTTAGAAATGACCAAATGACTTTTTATTAACCAAAGTGGTCATGAAACTGCCAAAATTCGCCTTTTGAATAAAGTTTAAAGGAAGGGGTGGGGGAGAATAATTTCATCCCATGCATAGCACCTGCTGCTATCCTTTCAACTGCCATCCACTGGGAGGCGCTGCTCTACAGTTTGCGCAGGGAACAGACAGCAGCTGGAAGAGGCTGGAGGAGGGACATGGAGCACGGTTCTGGTGGGAAGCCAATGAGAGTAGGGAGGAGTTTGCATGAGCCTCAGGGTCTTCCTCTTTGTGACATCCAACACCAGGACAGGCTCAGGAGGGTTCAGTCTTTGGCCCAAGGGGTCATGTGTCCACAAGCAAAGGGAGAACTATCTGTTTCCAGCTCTCGTCCCAACGAAGCTGCTTGGACTCCCGAAGATTCTTCCGGAACTGGTTCAGTTTGCCAGCAGGATCAGGAAACTTTGAGAAAAGCATCTAGAAGAAAAATGACAAAAACTTCCCTCATCACCGCTTCCCGACACCCCCACCCGTTCCTAGCAGCCTGGACCTCTGCTGTACCCCAAACACAGCTGCAGCCCAAACACAGCTGCACCCCAAACACAGCTGTCCAGGCAGTGATTTTGAAACCCTCCCTCTGTGGCCACACTACCACCACCAATGGCTGGGAGCCTTCAGTGGCCTCCCTGCACCAGCCTGCCCAGTTTCCACACAGCGTGGGAAACTGGTCTCAAACATCTCTGAGCCTGACCTCCCTGGCCCAGCCAGCCCCTCACTGGTCTTACTGGACCCCTCACACCCCAAAATGTTCCATTTCCTACTCCTACTCAACAGCTCAGCCAAGCTGCAGTGCTCGCCATCCACACACTGACCTGCAGTAGCCCCCAGCCTCTGCCATGCTGTTCCTTCCTCCAAGAGCACCCACCCCTCAGTCTCTGCCCAGCACTGTCCAGCCCATGGGCTGGGAACAAGACAATGTCTGTGTTCTTTCCAGTTTCACTAAACTAAGTCAGTCAGGTGTCTGCAAACTGTAGTCTGTAGGCTGAATTGAACCTTCCACCTGTCTTTGTAAATAGAGCTTTATTGAAACACAGTCACACCAGATTTTTCTAGCTGGGCCTTTCAAGAAAGTTTGCCACCCATGTCTCAACTATCAAAAATGATGATATATGACTTTTTATAATAAGAAATAAGTATCCTTTGAAGACTCCCGTCCATCTTGCAAGGCTGGTCTAGGAAGCTCCCTTCACTCCTCACTTTCCCTCCTGATATCCATTGCTCCCTAAATGACAGTCCACCTGTGCGCCATCATCTGCGTGGCATAAGCTCCACAAACCCAGCAGCAGGTGGAGTGTGCCTGAATTCCCCCGGGCCCACTGAGGCCCAACCTCTGGGACCGCTGTTCCCTCCTGCTGCCTTTTCCCAGACCCAGCGCCGGCTCAAGGAGTCCAGGGGCATGGCCCAATGCCAGCCTGAAGCCCTGCAAGCCCTGGCATGGCAGCAGACACACTACCTGCAGCTGAGCAGCCAGTTCCTCTGCATCCTCAAAGACCAGGCCATTTTCCTCATGTTTCACAAGCTCATGTAAGCTGCAGAGAGAATCGAGGGAAGCCTGAGAGCTGCCTGGAGAAGACACCAGAACTCCAAGGTGCCCACCTGGACCCCCATGCCACCACTCCCCACCCACAGGCTAAGCTAGGGGTCAGGAATAGTCAGTCTGGTTCCAATGAATCTGGTCTTAGATTTGACATCTGAATAGAAAATAGACCTGGGAAGGTACATAGCAAAAATCCAAACCGATTTGGGGGCATGGGAGGGGGGGGGGGTGGACAATGAACAGGGATCTGATCCTTTCCTGCTCTCTGTTCTTTACAGTGAAGACACGCTCAGTGGGTTCTGCTTGTTTTTTAACCATGCGGCAGAGAAACAAGGTAAAAGGCAACCCCATTGAAGGCAGCACATTACGGGTGACTTTTCTGGGTAACCCCAGAGTGTAGTGCTCAGCTCACACAAGGGTCTAACATCCTAATTTCCGTCCAGAGGCTGGCTCACGAGCCCATGGGAGAGCAGTTTCTAGAGCCTCTTCTCACACTGTCCTCTCCAAACCCACATCTTTGCCAGGAAGAGCGGAGACAGAATTACACTCATTTGACTAATTTGAATAAGAGTAAATGAGCTCAGACAAAAGGGAGAGAGAAATAAAATCAAGTAAACTGTGCAGGCAATTTCAGCCACCACTTTATCCTTTGAGCACAAGCCCCGAGTTGAGTATTGAGGACAAGTAGTTTTCCTTCAACATGAGCTCTAAGCGGAAGCCAACTCCCGCAGTAGGACTCAGCCCACCCGGGGACTCCCACCAGATCAGGAGGTGGAGCCTTTCTGGGGGGCAGCTCTGACCACACTGGTTCCCCCAGCTGCTAATCTGAGAACCTAACTCCCAGAAGATTCAGTTTCCACTCCTACCACCGGAAGTTCACGGCACACACAGGCAGGCAGCATCCAAACATGTCCACCACCTTCATGGGCAGGTCCAGGCCGCTGGAGGACTTGTGCAGGCAGACACCCAGGTCCGCTGACCCTGCGGAGGGGGTGGGGATGGGGTCGTCAGAGCACTGGCCATGCTCCCTTTGACCACACGTGCTGTGAGGACTGTGGGTCGACGCCTCTGGTGGGGAGTGGGAAGTGGGAAACACTCCCAACCCCCCATAGAACTGGCTGGAGCCGGCCAAGCATCCGGTGCACGGTGGGGACACACAGTGTCCAATCCTGGCCACGCAGCCCTATCTGAAAACTACCTGTCTATCATTGACATTTTAATTTAAACAAACTCCCTTTTCCTACTTAACCACCATTTATTTTAAAAGAACCCACAGCAATTATGCTGAATGGATTCAGAGTGTCTGCTTGGGGTGATGAGGCTGTTTTGAAAACAGACAGTGATGATGATTGCACAACACTGTGAACATAATTCATGCCACTGAGTTGTATGTACACTTAAAATGGGAAAGTGGCCAAACCGGTTTGGCTCGGTGAATGGAGCGTCGGCCTGCGGACTGAAGGGTCCCAGGTTCGATTCCGGTCAGGGGCATGTGCCTTGGTTGCAGGCACATCCCCAGTGGGAGGTGTGCAGGAGGCGGCTGGTCGATGTTTCTCTCTCATCGATGTTTCTAACTCTATCCCTCTCCCTTTCTCTCTGTAAAAAATCAATAAAATATATTTTTAAAAAAATGGGAAAGTGGTTAAAATGGCAAACTTTGTTATATATATTTTATCATAATAATTAGAAAAATTTTGAATCCACAGCAGACTCAACAGAAAACCAGCTGTCGCTGTGAAAATAAAGCCAAATAAACAAGCTCGCATCACTAAGTACTGGCTGGAAATGCCTGCCTACAAAGGCTCTCTGCCTGGACTGCTCACTGGCTGCTGGAAGATGAGCCTTGGAGACGCATCAGTACCAGGCCAACTCTGCCCTCCCCAGAGAAATGAAGACGGGAAGAGAAGGGGAGGACATTCTCGAAGTAAATATGCCTAACCGTCATCTCGGCACTGCCCTCCGGCACTTGGGAACAATGGGCCCCAAACAGAGCCAGCCCAGCCCTCTTGCCTGGACGGAAGAGCAGGACTGAACGGAGGGCGTGGAGGCTAAAAGGACATAAACCTCTTACAATCCCTGGCAAACAGCACCTGAGCCCACCGGGCAGGGAGGAGCTGGCACACCAGGAAACAGCCTCCCTTCCTGGAGTTCAGTCAGCAGCTCCTCCGACAGGTTCCTAGCAAGCAGCATCTCTGTCCCAGGCGGCC